CCCCAAAACCCCAAAACCCCAAAACCCCAAAACCCCAAAACCCCTGTATATAACTAGAGAATAGAGATTTAGTAATAATTATATTTAGATATGAACTCAAATTCTCCAATTAGTGAACTCTGGAACGATGCTTCATGAAATGTTGCTGAAGATTACAATGAGTCCCCTAACACAAACTGTGTTTATAAATGGGACAACAAAGCAAGTGTGCTTGCTAATAACAAGAATCCTTTGGTTTATCGATTAGGTGTTGGCCTCACCACTGAAGACTTGAAGGCTAAAAGTTTCAATCTCTCCCATGAAAACTCAGAGTGTAGAGCAATGACTCCTTGACCTAAATTTCTAAAGCAAAGAGCTCGTATTGCTTCTTCTCCTATTGGGATTAATGGTCGATTCTTGGAGGTTTCGAAATTTCATAAAGTGTCAGTATCGAGGGAAAGCTCTCCTAGTGTTTTTGAGAGTAAAGATGAAAGCTCTGCAAGTTGGAAAGAAAGATGAAAGGAGGTTCAAAATAGATGCTCAATAAAGATTCTTGAGATCCTCAATAAAGATGCTTAAGACCCTCAATCCTGAACCAAAAGTGTTCGCCTTGCGATTCATTAATTTCTAATAAATTTGTCATAAAAATTAATATTTACCTATTATTGGGAAATTAATACTAGAAAGGATTCATCATTCAAATTTACCGACTGTAAATCATGTTTATGGCCTTTTACAAAGAGACAGTAAACATTGACACTAAACAAGTCTGTGGTTGGGCTCTCAAAATAACAGGAGATATGAGTACTAGTTTGAAGTCATGCTCCTTCATTTCGATCCATTTAAACCTGGCTTTGTTAGAAGTATTTTATCATCGTAACCGATAGAGGAAATTTTAATGAGAGCATTGATTCTTAATTTTTCATACTTAGACTACTCTTATTTTTGGATTTTGACACAAAAAAATCTTATTTAGCTTGCAATTTATTTATTTTTTACAATTAAAATTTATAAATCCTACTCTAGAAAAAGTCAAGAACTCTTCAAAAAGAGCATTGATCTTCACTATTACTTAATCTCCAACACAGAAAACTTGAATTTTCCATTAATCGTGACCCAATTCTCCTAACTCTTATACACAACAAGAAAGATTACTGGTCCTATATTAGTGGCCGCTCTAATAAAATAAATAATAAAACTGGCGTCACACAAAAATTAACCTGTGAGCTTACTTTCCTTGAGTACTCTGAATGCTTCATTTTCCTTACACCATCTTAAGTCTCATTTCTTCTTTATTGATTTCATTTGATTCTTGTGAGCAGCTATAAATAGCAAATAGTCAGAGGCTCTACCTAATCTGTAAGGAAGCCTTGATGAAGACTTTAATATAGTGAAGCAGATCATCGCATGTCCCCTGAAGTCTTTAATGCCCAGTCTAGCCTTGAAGTTTTAATAGAATCGAAAGCATATGTGAACTGTTAGTTTTCGAGCCTGATAATTTATACTAAATGTAGTCAGCACATGAATCACTACCATTGATATAGAAATTTAAGTAGAGAAATCAGCAATATGAGTCAGAATTTGGTGGGCTTAAAATACTTGAGAATCTTAACTAATTTTATTAGTCATGTTAAGCTTATAGGAAGAGGGAGAATGGCTCCTGATGATAATCCAGTCATCGAGCATCACCGCCGAAAATATGTTAATGGAAAATTTAGAATTTTTCTTAAATATGATTGAGTATTAAAATGTCAACCAACCGCTATAGTTTGAGTAGTAAGCTGAAATAAAGACCTTACCAAGATTTGCACTTTATTTATGACTTGAGCTGTTTAGTTTCAAAGAAAAGTTCAGTGCTTGTTATTATAATTGCATTAATTCTAAGTCATATTTCTCCATCAACTCGAGTTTCGATTATCCATCTAAAGTTTCATTGGTAACAGTGTTTGCTAACTATCGGTTCTTACATTTCTCATATCCTCACAATATCTTCAAATGCTATGCTGAGTATTGTTTGAAACTTTCAGATGATGTCTATGGCTTTATATCCACTCTTACTAGGACTCTAAACTCTTCAGCCAAGATCTTGAATTCATCTGATCATTAATTAAATAGTTCACCTTAATATTTCTAACAACGGGGATAACTTAAGTTCAATATCTGAGGTCGATTACGGGGTTTTGGGGTTTTGGGGTTTTGGGGTTTTGGGG